TCAGCTGGTTCCCTGGAATTCTCCCTGCATGCTCAGCTTAGGAGTCAGACAATAACTTGAGGGAAACACGTTTGCAGATTTTTCATTTGCTCCTCTCCATCTTTCTCCCTTCGAGTTCCAGCTCCTCTGGCAGCCTTCACCTCTGATCTCAGCCCAGTAAGACTGCAGTTCTCGGCTATCACCCACTCCTCCCCTCCCCACCCCGCCCGTGATCTGGGAAAATGCCTTTGGGAAAAACCAGGATGACTGTGCATTTTGCTTCTCTCAGGGATCATAGCCATGTGGACTTGCACCCAGTGCTCTCCAGTTCCTTCAAACGGTGACCCTACATATTGTGTCCAGCTTTTATAATTGTTTTGACAGAAAGATTAACCTGATACAAGCCATTGCCCTCTGGCCAGAAGCAGAAGTGTTACCGTACTTTCATCTATTAAGCCCTTCTCACCACTGCCTTAGAGTGGACACCAGAAGTTTCCGTTGGCAGACGACTGACTTGATCCTAGTTCAGTCAACGGGGAGGGAGATGACCTCGTAAGTTGGCTCCCAGACAAAGCTATCTGAGATGTTTCATTCATCTCAGACTGAAGGTTAGGCATCTGTTAAGTTATGCGGCCCTGAGAACATGCAAGAATTCAGGAGCGTATTTATAGTGCTTAGGATTCTTCTCAGAGGACCAGACCTAGGCCAAAAGATCATGGAAAATGAGAACGAATTTAACGAGTGGCTGGGTGAGAGGGTCATATTTCCGAAGGGAGACCAAAGAACGAGGCAACCGGGTAAGGCAATTGCCTACTAGATCACTTCTCTTAGGGTTATGAAGTCACTGAGTAAGCCACCAGAAATAGCATCCAGTATCTCTTGGGGATTCTGACAAGAGTCAAATATGCTTCACCAGTAAACTCAAGGATGCAGAGGAACAGTCACCAAAGTTACCTGAAAAGATGTCGTGGTGTCCTTAGGTCAGGGCGACCAAGAATCGCTGTGTGTGTCTGTGGCTCTGGATCGCATACCCAAAGGAAATTTCCAGTCATGAGTAACCTGGGTTAACTGAGAGGATCAGTGTCTTCTTTAGTGAGTGGTTTATCAGCCAGGGTCTATCATGGAGCAAAAGCCATGCCAACATCCAAACGGAGAATTTAACACACAAAAAATTGTTCATCAGGTATTGGACAAGTCAGATGGCAAAGAGGAGACACGGGGGAATCGCAGATGTGGTGAGTACAGGGAGCAGCAACCACCCTTAGGAGCCGGGACACAAAAGGCAGAGGTGGGGATGGTCGACGTTGAAAGGGCTAGAGGAGGGGCCCAGGCCGGCTGGCGCTGCTGCCTCTGAAGGGACACGTCTGAGGCTGCTTCTGAGAGCGAGGAAAACTTGAGGCTGATCCTAGCCACTGCCATTGGACCAGCCATGTTGACAAAGGCAGGAGACTGGGGTAAGTCTGTGTCTTCTCTCTCCCTGGCTGCCCAGCCGCCCTCCAGCGCCCCCTGCAGGCAGAGCCTAACAGGAACCCAGCCGACAAAGCAGAAATGTGGTTTTAGATTTCCAGCCCCAGCATCCCAAAATACAGAAAAGAATGGAAGCTGAGAGACGACAGCTTAACAACCAACATACCGTATAAGAAGATTTAGACTCAAGTGTAGGAAGATTTAAAAGAAAACAAGCTAGAGCACTAAGACTTTTGTGTTAGGAAGGAATCTGTGCATATTTGGTATTTTAGACACATGATATTTAAGAGAATAAGGCCCTGTTCAGGGACAGTTTTATAATTCCACTTTAAAATGTATAATTGAGTAATTAATTAAGACTTGTGTTTTTTTTTTTTATGATGTCTTCTAAGCTTAAATAGAGTATAAAAACATTTAAAGTTTCCCTTAGTCATAAGTTTAACTTTTGAGTTTCTATAAGAATTTAGGATTGGGGAAGATTTTGTATGCCATCAGAAAAAGTGAAGTACTTAAAAAAGAAATATTAAATTTATAAATGTATTTAGAAGTGTTTGAAGCGCTGAGCTAGGCTTGTAAATGGGAGCAAAGCATTATTCAAAGGCTCCTCCAAAATTAATGCTAAAATCTGCTAGACTTATAAACAGAATAATAAAATTTGTGAGTTAAACTTAAAAGCCTAAGACTTTTAAATTTGTATCTTAAATTGAATATGGACTCTGAAGACATTATTACCTGAATTATTTATTAAATGAATACTAATTATTAAACTTATTACAATATTACTTTTAAATCCAAATTTAAACTTACTAATTTTTAAACAAAAACCACCCACTGCCATCTTTCCTGCACAGGAAATCAGCTGTTCAGGACGGCAGAATCCCCCCCCCTCCCCCACAAGGTTTTCTAGAAGTGGCTGGAGAAAAGCAAGAGAGGCAGCTTTGTTTCTCGGCTCTCTGGAAACGCTGAAACCATCCCACTGTGTAGCGGGCTGAGGGAATGTGCCCCTGGCTTAGCTGTTCTGCCTCTTCACCCTCTACCAAGCCAGGACACCTCATGGAACACAGGAAGGATGGCCACTGGACGTGGGGCAGGAGAACCCAAGCCTCGGTTTTCCCATCTGCAAAATGGGGGAGATACCCGCCGCGCACAGTTGCTGTGGGGATCAGCATAGTGCTTGGCACACCGGGGCAGAGTCTGAAGCTCCCTCGTGTTGGGCCTTTCTTGGGTTAGGGCCGGGAGGTCCTTGCCTGAGCACACGGGCCAGGAATACTCCCGCTCACTTCTTGGCAGGAGAACTTCAAAGAGATGGCCTCCCGCCAACAATAAGCACACGTTTCAGGCCCTGAAGGAATCTCTCACCACAGACAGAAAGGGGACAGGCGAGGAAGGAAGCAGCTGGCTCGGGAGCAAAGCAGCAGCCTGATGGACAGGGTCCGAGAGCTCCACAGGGACCGGCAGCCACCGGCTGGAGCAGGAAGGGGAGGGGCCGCAGGGAAGGGCCTGGTCCTGGCCCCCAGCGGCGTCCACGGGTCACCGGACCACGTAGCCTCAGCTGGAACATGGTTCTAGAGAGCGGCATGGGGAAGGTCTCTGCCTACAGAGAAAGGAAAGGGGATGAAGGGCTTCTGTACGAATACGTGGGAGGGAAGGAGTGGCGGTCAGAATTACCACCATCTCACTGTCCAGTGCACCTGACTTAGAACTTTCTCTGTATTGCTAAGCCCTAGGCATGCAAACACAAGTCCCGCGTATCCTTGCCTTCCTGGGGAGGCACCTGCACATGTAGAGGCAGAAGTGTCTACCCAGAGAAGCAGTGGGCAGGGCGCCCGGGGTGTGGGGGCAGCAGGAACAAGGTGGGGTGCGTGCACGTGGAGGACGCCTTCCAAGACAACGAACCATCCAGTGAGACTGACGCCTCACAGGGAGGGAGTCAGGGGGCAGCAAAGGAGGCCGGGAAGGCAGAGGAGGGCCAGCTTGGGAAGGACTTTAAAGTCACGTTCCAGTGTGTGGATTTTATTGGAAGCCAGGGAGAAGTTTTAACTACGTTTTGGAAAAATCTGCTGGGGACGTGCATGGGGAGAGATGGAATCTGGAGACAGATACAGGGAGTACCCAGTTGGAGGAGTCCAGACGGGGGAGGATGAAGGCTTGACAAGCAAAGGAGATTAGAAATCAGAGAAAGGTTGGAGCAAGAGACTCCAGAATCATGGTTGGCGTGGGAGTCTGGGCCAAGGCACCTGCCCGCCCACTAGTCTCATCTTTGTAGGGTCCCCAGCACACTCTGTGGTGGCCCTTCTCCTGCTGGGACAGGCAGGCAGGCAGTGGAGACAGTGCCCATGACATCTCGAGATGGAGGTTATGCTGTGTCATCTCGGGGAGGGTGGGCAATGGAATCCCAGGGCCACCGTCGCTGGCCTGGAAACCTCAGGAGGTGGCCCATGAGCCCAGGCATGCAGGCGGCTTCCAGAAGCTGGCAAAGGCGAGGGGACGGATTCTCCCCCAGAGCCTCCAGCCAGGGCCGCAGCCCTACCGACACGTGGATCTTAGCCCAGTGAGACCCATGTCAGACTTCCAGTCCCGTGAGGCGATAACTGTGTGTTGTTTTCAGCCACTCAACGCCATTGCCATTGGCGGCCATTTGTGATGGCAGTGACAGGAAACACAAGCAGATCATAACGCTGGGCGTTTTAGAGAGAACTTCTCTAGCCACCTCACCCAGGATTGCCCTCTCATCACACCCACCAGCCACTGAGGTTTGCATTTGATTTCTTCCGGTGTCTTTTGTTATTTGAAACGCCTGTGTTGAACCGATTGCCCACCTTCCCCCGTTAGACTGTCTCCAGGAGGGCGGGCACCTTGCCTGGCTGTCCATCACCGCACCCCCAGCTCCAAAGCAAGCGCCTATGACACAGTGGCCGCTCCACAAACTCCTGGTGGATAGATGAGTGTGACGGTGCACCAGTGACATGACCAGAGATCTGCCAAGGCACAACATACAGCAGCTCTTTCCCACCACATAGCCTCTGAAGGCTCAACACAAATGTACATGCGCTCCCCCCCACCCCCAACCCCCCACCCTCCCCCGGGATGCTCAGCTCAGGTCCCACCTCTTTGAATGCTCTTACTAATCAGCCTTCAATCTCAGTCCAACTCTGCTCCAGCCCTCCTAGGAAAACACACGCAGAGAGTAAAATATTATGGATTCCCTCTGCCAAACAGATCGGAGGGGAGCATATGACGAGAGTCCGTGAACAGACACGGTTAAGTGTCCCCCTCCAGGTTAAAGGCTCGGGAAGAGCCCAAACTGGTTTTAGAAGAGACCTTGCCTTCCCAGACTTTGTTCAGTGTTTTCCAAGCTCCACAGACAGGCCGCCCCTCCAGGAAATGACTTGCCGATCCAGCTGAGGACGGCAAACAAAACCCAGGGGACACTGGCTGAGGTCAGGCTGCTGGAGTGGAAGCCGGCACAGAGAGGGTGAGGACAGGATGCATGAAGAGCTGGGGGCGGTGGCGCTTGCAGATTCAGTCCGGCCACACGGCATGGGGACAGGGAGGACGTGTACAAAATGACGTTTATTGAATCTATTTTGGAAACAGGCAACATGAAAGGTTTTTGGTTTGTGAGCTCACTCAGAGCTCCGAGTCGTGTTAGCTTCCTGTCATTAGAACTCAGCCACTGGAAGATTCTAGCTTCATCTTCTAAAGGGGCAAAAAAGGGGTTGCAAACACTGCAGCCATCACTCTTGCCGTAGCTCAGATGGCTAAAATGCCCATAAGCATCAACAAAATGGTGTGTGTAGTCTGAAATATTTACAGTACGAGATCAGGCAGGTACATCGAAGGTGAAGTTGTAAACTGGCTAACAGTCATCAGCAAGCAAGTACAGTGGGTCTGGACTGACACTCCCATTCTCATCCTAAGAGCTGACATGTTTAACCGATGACTGCTGTCCTCATCAGGGGCATTTAGTATACGGACAAGGCATTTAAAAGCATATAGATCTTGAACGTTGTAAACTAAAAAGCAAACCCAAGCCTGATTAATTACCTTGCCTGGATCAATAAATACTAGTCCCAAGTGCCAAGTGTACCAGTAAGGACACACACCATCAGTTAAATAAATCATCATGTCGTTACTTACTGACGTTCTATTTGCTAACGCACGTTAGTCAATTTGTGGACTTTATCCAACACATACACAGAGACAATTTTTTGTTTGAAATTCTCAGAAGACCTCCTTTGGACACTTCTCTTCCACCCTCTCTTAGAAGGATAGAAATGAGACAACTTCTTAAAGTTTCCAAATCAGAAGCCATCAAAAAGGCATGACTCTGGTCACGTTCCAGGTCTTCACCCAGAAGGGATGTGCCATCGAGGCTTCGACGTGCTTAGGCCTCTTCCCCTGCTGGCAGCTTACACTGTCCTTGTCCTCTCCCAGCCTCCTCCTGCCGTATTGGAGGCCAAGCTGGCTCCTGTCTCTGAGATTTCATAAACAGTTTCCAAAGACCAACAGCACACCTAAAGGGTGTGCCAGAAGGGTCCAGGGGATCCTCCTCGCTTTTCCGGATGTGTTATCAGTGAGGCCGACAGGCAGATACAAAGAGAAGAACAGGGGTTCTAGGTGGATCAAAAGCCCAGACCTGGGGGAGCAGTGTTAAGGATTCAGCACAGTACCAAAGCCTGCTGCCCCAAAGAGCATTTTGAGAGCTCAGATGTTAGAAATTCCAGGCACTTCTGGCATTTCTTTAATCACAGGGAATGAACATCTCTCCAAAAGGTCCTGCCCACATTTCCCCCATCTCCCTCTACGGTGAAGCATTGAGACATTCCATTTGCTGCCACCCTCTGCTCACGGGGCAAAGTGAGGCTCCCAGCCTCAGTGCTGTCAACCGTGACACTCGCAAACACAGGCCGTTCTGGATTCAAGTCCAGTGGCTTCCGGCACTCAGCAGCTGATGAGCCCTGCCCACCACGGATCCCCTGCGCCCTGAACAACTTCCAGGCTCCTTTCCTAGGGGGGGCGATTTTCTAGTTTGAGGACACACCCCACTGGAAATGAGCAGTGCAAGATCCTACGTGCAAATATTTGCAAACACTTCCTTTTGAAACGATGCATATTTACAAAATTCAAGTCAAATCCAGGAACAGACTAATTGGTTGGTTATCAGCTGGCCCCTCACCCACAACAGGAAAATGGTCAGTGTCTGAAATGAAAGAGGAATGAAGGCACCAGCTACTCCACCCAGGAGGTTAGTTCCTCGAGCTTGGTGGGGAGGCCTGAGAGGGAAACGCTGAGGCTTTGTCAAAGAGGGGACTTCCCCAGCCCCGTAGCCCTCCTGGGCCAAAAGGCAAAGGTGGCAGGTAGGATCTGGATCCGGGTGAGAATGGCCCTCACCCGCGTGAGGGGGGCAACTCTTTCCAGTAATTGTGAAACTAAAATAAGGAAGGTACACTCCCAGAGTCGTGCTTGGTCGGGCTGCTGCCTCCTTCCACTCCCCACAGAATAGGCGGGAAGGACACCCCTCCACTACCTGTTCTCACCTGTGAGCCCCGCATCACAAGAACCTAACGGGGAACTCCAGAGGCCGACGCATCCTTGCTGGCTTTGTGTGTGGCTCAGCCGACCTCCTGCTATCATAACGCCAGAGGGGCCCTGGGCCACATCATTGGGAGCGTCGGACAGTCCACTATCTGGGGGAAAAGCCCAGAGAGGGGGGGTCTGGAGTCAGGCAAGCAGAAAGGGAACATTAGGCAGTTGGGTCTGTGTGGCTGCAAAGAGATGGTCGCAGTCACAAAAACAGAGAGGTTCACACCCGGGATTTCCACTAGGGCACTTGGGCTAGGCCTGACACGGGCAGTGTCACCCGCGGGAAGAGCCCCTTGGTGAGCCCCTGGGGATGGGGCGGTCCTCGTGTTGGTGACCAGGCCGGAGCTGGGAAGTCCCAGAGGCGGGCATTCAGCCGAGGGAAGCACAGTTCAGCTCAGAGTCCCCCTGGCTGCCCCCTGTCACCTCCTCCAGCTCATCAGGGCTGTCGGTGATGTTGGGCTCACTGGAGCACTGTCGGTGGGGTGGGGAGAAGCTGGGCGGCAGGAGCAGGCACTTGTCCTCACCGCCAGGCTCCTCGCCTAAGCCTGAGTGCATCATGGTGGTCATGGCCAGCAGCTGGATGTCTGAGTGGGCGTTGGCCACCGTGTGCCTTCGGACGCTGCCACACTTCTCCAGGTAGGCCTCCCCCTCTTGCTCCGTCAGAGGGGTCAGAGCCGTCTCATTCGGCGGCCGGCTGACGGTGGTCGTTGGGGAGGCGTAGTTCAGGACAGCCACCTTGGGCCGGACCCTGGAGTGGCGTCTCGCTGCAAGACAAAAACCAGCAAAGGCGGTAACTGCCAGGGACACAGGGCCAACCGCGCCTACTCATCAATTTGGGGGAAGAGGGAGGTGGTGGCTCCACCTTCAGGAACAGTTCAGGCACAGTTCGGCTGGATGCAAGGGAGGAACCGGAAAGGTCTGCCTGCTTCCCTCGCAGCCTTACCTGCGTGCGCCCGACACTGCCCCGCTGACGTTCCCACCGTAGTAGGGGTCGCCAAAGGGCTTTCCGGGATAGACTAGCTTCAAGGGGATCTCCCCTCCTTCTCAGCTGCTGCCTGAACTTCACTGCATTTGCCCTAAATCTCCTTTCAACCGGTCTCCTCCAAAGGCCTGGGCACAGGCTGGACCAGCTTCTACAAGAAAACGCCCAGCTCTGTGGAGCAGGAAGTGGCCTCCCCAGTGTCAGCAGATGAAGTGGAAAAGGCCCCAGGAGCTTAAGGTCCAGCTTACCCAAGGGGGCCTTGGCTATTAAAGCTAGGGAATGGGACGTCCTCCAAATCATCTTGACCAGGGCTACAGCACTCCCCTCCCACCAGGCCACTGGCCCGAGACCTATGTGCTGTTCACGTCCTACTCACTTCCAACAGCCTCTGGCACCATCAAAGAACGGGCTGGGCTCCACGGATGGCCCCGTGGAGCCAGACACACAGAGGAGGGCTGGACATGAATCATCACCAAACCACTACTGCTTGAGCTCTCCCCACATTCTAGAAACTACGCTAGGCTTTGACATGCACTCATCTTTTGACTCCTAAAAACTGAGCTTAAGTCATGATAGGTTTATTGGCTCCCACTTTACAGATGAGAAGACGGGAGTATCAGAGAGGTGATGACTTACCGACGTGCGCATCGCTAGAACGCAGTACAGCGGGGAGTTAAGGGTGGCCTCCCTACAGACCCTGCTCTTCCCGGACACCCACACAACATGCACGTAACTACAATAGGCTGAGTACCACCAGGGAAGGAAGGACAAGCCAAGTGCATGGGCTTCAGAGGCAGGGACAAGTGTATCCATGTGTCAGGGCGGATGTAGCCCGGAGCCGGTCTTCAGAGTAGCAGAGCTCCCAGAAGGGAGGAGTGACAGCATTCTGAGCAGTGGGAACAGCCGGAGCAAGGTGCCGAGACAGGTGCGCCACCGGGCCCCAGCCTGGCCAAACACTGTATGCATGAAACAGTGGGGACGTGCACAAGCAGGCGGATGGCCCTTGGTCCTGCAGGAGGGCCCCTGAAAGCCAGATGGAACCATCGGTGATCAGACAAGCCCGGGGATACGGCGCAGGATGGGGGCTGTGCTCCAGGAAGATGCACCCCGCAGGAGTCATGCAGGGTGGGAGCCCGAGGGCCCAGAAGTGAGGAAAGCCAGGATCACGACAAACCTACATCCCCTCCGTGTCAGGGAGGTCTCCTCCCCACGCTCCTGGAGAGGCAGCCCATCTCTTCTCTCACGTGGGCCCTTCATCTGTATGACGAGTGGGATGAAGGACCCCAGCGAGAGACAGGACTGAGAATGGAGGGCTGAGGACCAAGTGGGTTCTGTTCAGCCTCTCTCTTTCTACCGGGGCATACTTCTCCCGTCTTTCCAGCCACTCACCCCATTTTCCCATCACGACTTTCCACAGCTCCCATGTCCTTGAGACCCCGAAGGCCCCCCCAAAAGCACCCTCTCTCAGCAGGGGGATGCAGCAGGCCGCAATGGAGAAGTGTGACAGGGCTGCTATTCCTGAACACTGGCAGGATCAGAGGGGAAGACTTAGTCCCTAAAGAGAAAGCAAACAGTGCTGCTCAGAGACTGTCCTTGGGGACACACGGCCCACTCTGCTTTAGTTTACTCTTGGCTCTTCCTGTGGCTCTGGAGGGCCAAGACGCACGCTGTCGTCACTTCCGGAGCTCATGCTCCTAGACGGGCATCACAGTGAGATGGGCCATGTCCCCTGCAAAGCTCTCCGCGACCCCTGTCACTGGACGGTTCTGCATGTCCTTATATACACATATATGCACAGGCAGCGACAAGAGAATGAAATCTTAAGCCCTAGGTTGGAGTCACCAAGTCTGCTGGCTCTGAGCCCAACAGGAAATCTTTGGCAGGTAACTAATTATTTCTCAAGACCCAAGTAATATGTAGAATTTTACTGTGTTCCCATCCACTTTCTCACTGCTGAGTCCCAATCTCCCTTTGAAACACCAAGGCTACTCTCATTATTCCCATTGTTCAGATGAGGAAGACTGAGGCTCAGCCCAACTCTCACAGGCTCTCAACAGCCATGCCCAGACTTCCCCCACTGCGTGCTATTGTGTCTCAGGGTTCCACTGCTGCCTGACCCCCCCACACCCCCACCCTCTGATGCCAGGTAATAGCAAACACTGTCCCCTGAGGTGCCAAATAAGAGGCTGCTACTGGCTGGGAGAGGCTAGTTCAGCGGCCTTTCTCTTTGGGGAAGAATGAAAAGGAGAGATGAGGTGGCAAAGAGCGACCAAGAAGCAAGGATCCCATTAAAGAACCATCCTTAAAAAAAATGCCCTCAAAAACCATCCATTCGTCCCCTGCTATTAGAAACAAGCACCTACGACCGGCAGTTGCAAAGATCTGTGTTGTGGCCCAAACCTTCAACCAGCTGGGCAGGAGACCGGGCTAGACTGTTCGGTGAGCATTTACTACACGCAGATCCAGAAAGGGGAAAGAGCTAGAGCAAAGGCTGGGCTGGGCCCAGGACACAGGGTAAGTTGAGGGCATGGGGGATAGATGGGGGACACACACAGCCATCTCTGGAGGAAATGAGGATTGTTTGATCGTTTCCAGGGGCCCTACTCCAGTAGAATGAGCCAGGAAGGGTGTTTCAGATGGGTGCCTGGATGTTCTCTGTCTCTCTCCCACATTGTTAGCCAAGAAGCCCAAAGTCCTGGGGGCGGGGGGGGGGGGGGTTAACAGGCAGAAGAGACAAGAGAGGCCACTTTAGCTGCTGCTGCAAGCTGGAGCCACAGTGAGGGTGGCCAACATGGAGGAGGGGGTCTCCATGACATCTGCCCTCTCCTGCCCCAAACGCTCTGAACTGCAACATGCAAAACACTGTGGTCACTGCTGGGAGGGAGAAATGTGAATTTGACATGGGGCCCGCCTCAGGGGCCCGAGCCCAGTGCACGTGTGTGTGTGTGTGTGTGTGTGTGTGTGTGTGCACATGTGCATGTATGTGGTGGGGGGCTGGGTCAATGAGCATCTAGTACGTGCCGCATACTGTATCAAAAAAGGAGGTGCCTCACCGACATGGTCATCTTCTGACCATTTTGTAGAAAAGGAACCTGAAGTGAAGATGTGAAATAACTTTCCAGCCAGTCAGCGGTGTAATCCGGATTCAAGCCCAGGCCTCAAGGCAGAGCTCCTGCATGCCCACTGGGAAGCCTACACACAAGTACCTGTTAACAAGTGGGGGCACCTAGGTGGCTCAGTTGGTTAAGCGTCCGAGTTCAGCTCAGGTCATGATCTCACGGTCCGTGAGTTTGAGCCCTGTGTCCGGCTCTGTGCTGTCAGTCCAGAGCCTGGAGCCTGCTTCAGATTCTGTGTCTCCCTCTCTCTCTGCCCCTCCCCCACTCACGCTCTGTCTCTATCAAAAAATGAATAAACATTAAAAAAAAAATAAAACAAACAAACAAAAAAATCCAGGTCAACAAGTATGGAATTGTTGAATCACTGTATCGTACACTTAAAACTAATATGACACTGCATGCTAACTCTACTGGAATAAAAAAAAACGAACAAGGTCAACGAATGACAGGGCAGAGGTACAGGCAGGAGCTCTCAGAGGAGTCAGAGGAGGAGAAGTCTTGAAGAGGAGTCATTTCGGACGGGCCTGCTCCAGAGTGACTGACGGATGGAACCCAGACATTCACTCACACACTCACTCAGAGCAGACACCTACGCTAGGGCCTGGGGTACAAGAGGAACCACACGTTCCCTGCCCTCGACAAACTAACAGTCTAAGGGGGAGACTGACAAATCATCAGGCATGACTATGCAGCATGGCAAGGGTCGGGATGCGGTCCGGGGAGAGGCACATACAATTTCTCATCTGGAGGCATTCCAAGGGGGCCAGGCTGCCTCTAGCTGGGGACCGTATCCTAGCAGGTAGCAACTCTGCCTGGGCCCTGACCTGAGACAGGCTGGCATCTTCCTTCTCTGTGTTCGGCTCTCTGCAGCTCAGAGACATCAAGTAACCGACTCTAGGCCACACAGCCAAAGCGCAGCCCTTGTGGTTTCTGAGGCCCCACTCCTTCTGGCCTTGCCGCTCTCCTTATGGCTGTTCCCTGCTGATGACTCACGGGAGAGGCCTAGGACTCTTCCTTCTGCCTGCTGGGTGGAGTGCTTTGGTTCCCAAGACTGGGTGTGGGCAGAGTGGAGACCACAGGGGCCGCTGGGCTGTGCCGAGTCCCCCGGGGCAGACAGCGTTTCCTCGATAAGCTCCCACCAGACTCCAGAGTCAACCTCAGACCAGCACGTCAGCTGCGGCCCCAGTGGGGTCAGACCACAGGCCGGGCTGGAGCTGAGACAGCTACCCACACTGTTGTTGCCTATCATCTTCCCGGCCTTCTCATTTGTACCAGGGAAAGTCAGGCCCTGGCACTCAGAGAAGAAAATCTCCCTTTAAGAGGCTATTTAAGCTGTGGTCACCCCTCGGGGGCTGAAACGGGTCCTTCCCTTGCAACGGTACCCTTTGAGCTGGGAGAGGAGCCGTGTCCTGCCACCTGGGCAGGCACCCACCTCCAGACCTCCTCCTCCTCCTCCTGCCTTTCACACGGGGTGGGGCAAGGGGAGCCTTTCTGCCTTCATCACTCCCCAGGCGCCCCACTGAGCTCTGGCATTCATCCCCCTACACCGGAGCCAGCAATGGCAGTTCCTTTCAAACCCCGGAGAAGCAAAGCCTGGATGAGGCGGTCCTCAGGCCCTTTGTGGGGGACTCCGTTCCCAGGCCTTTGATCTCCCAGGCTCGAAGGAGTGGCCGCCATAATGCGGGTATTGTGCCCTCTGCACGCCAAGCCCATTGTGGACGTCCCTCTCCAGGCCCAGGCACCTGAAAGCCCATGAATGCCTACTTGTCACGAGGAGAAGTTACAGGGTCTTGAGGAAAAGGGCCCTCCCCTGGAGACACAATGGAGGAAGATCTGTGGGAGGCCAGGGCTTTTGTGTGAGAAAAACACAGCACTGCTGAGGGTTCTGAGTGTTTGCTGGGGGTCCCGGGAGGCAGCCAGGGCAGCAGCTTGGAGACTTCGGGAACTAGAAAGGTAGGACAAAACAGTTTTGTTTTTGTTTTTGTTTAAAGATTTTACTCCTCACCTCCACCTCCCCACAGCTCTGGAAAAGGGACTGCTTTGGAGGAGAGCCACATTGCGCACACAGTTGCTCCCACGAGCCTCAGAGTCCTCTCCCTCTCTCTGCCAAGCCTCGTATATCAGGGGGTGAGGCTCGCTCCTCACACCCATCGGCCTGGCTGACAGGAAGAGAGCTTTCCCCAGAATCCCCGTGGGATCAAACGTGCCTGGACAGGCGCGTGCAATGAGGGGCGCCCCCTGGAGAAACCGCTTCTCTGTCTCTGGTCATCTACTCCACGCAGCCCTGGGGAGGTCTCTTCCGGAGTCTGAGACTGAGACAACCACAGCACTCCCCCACCCCTCAGCGGGCTGTGCAAAGAGGACAAGTGCCTGGTCAGCACCTGAAACATGACAGGCATTTTGATAAGTGGTGGCTTTTGAGATGAGCGCTCCAGCTGCCCTCGACCGCTCCTCACCCCTGCATGCCCCCCCTCCCCTTCCCCTTCCCCGCCCCACCTTTGCTCCCCTCACCACCACCCCCGCCCCCGCCCCAGCGGACCACGGCAAAGCCCTCCTGTGGCTTCACACTTCAGTTGGTGGTCTGCACGCTCCTCTCCTTCAGGCAGGATAAACGTCATGGTCTCCATGTTTTACTGAGGGGAAGACTGAGGCACAGAGAATCCTCACTTTATCTGGCAAAGGGGTGTCCTCAACAGGGAAGAGATCCATTGTAGCCATGTCAACTTTTTAGTATCCAGAGGTTCCGGGTGAAATGTCTGGCCCCGGAGCCCTGAGGAGCTAAGGAATGAGGGGGAAGGATCACCTCCTCAGCTGTCCCTCAGTAACATCACAACGACCTTCTAGAAACTGACAGGGGCGGGGGGAGGCTGGAGCATGTAGGATAACTGGTAAAGTGCAAACAACCTGGGGCTTTCAAATCCCAGCTCCAACAGCCAAGTGACCTGAACCCTCAGCTGTAAAATGGGAACAATGGTGCCCACTCTGCGGTATGGCCTCCAGCCCACCCAGCATAATGCCCAGGATGTAGTCTGTGGCCTGTGCCTTCCCTGGCCACCAGCCACTTTGCAACTCTGACGGTATCTTGGTTTTTCAAATGCTCCAGCCCCTCCCCCCGCCCCCGCCCCGTTCACCGCTCTCCCTACCCCAAAGGCCTCCCAAAGATCTTTCCCTCTCCCTGGGATAGCTCAGCAAACAGCGAAGGGAGACTACCTCAAATCCATCCTACAGGACTCAGCACAGGTATCACTTCCTTTGGGGAGCCTCCCCTGGTTCCCCCAGTCCAGGTGAAGTGCCCCTGCCCTGGGCCCTGTGGCCGATGTACTTCCCCCATTCAGAGAACTTGTTCATTCATGAGTCATGATGTACTGTCTGAGACCTCCTCACTGGACCGTGTGCCCCACAGGGCAGAGATGGGTCGGTTTTACTCATGGCTATACCTGCAGCACCTCCTAAGGTACCAGGGGTAAGGTTTCAGTATACATTTGCTAAAATAATCATAATCAAACAATCCATAAGAGTCATTTTCTTCCCCTTCTGTCCCTCCTGAGACAATGCCCCACACAAGGATTGTCCTTGGTATAAAAAAAAAAAACAAAAAAACAAACAAACAAAAAAACCTCAGACCTTGGCTTTATACTTTGACAAAAGAATGTATTGTCCTAACTGGGAAGCCAAAGGTGTCCCCTCTTGGAGTAAGTACTCCCAGAGCAAACTTCCAAATCTGTCCCTGTTCCTGGCTCTAGGCCCAGCCAATGGCAAAGTCCCCGACGTGGCCCAGCTCACCTGATGGTGTCCTGACATCTACCCGGATCCTCCCGTCCCAAAGTGGGTGAGCCGGCAAGCCAGTGGGCTGAGCTGAAGTAAGAAGGTGGGCTCCAGGGAGGGCGTAGCAACGTGGCGCCCCGCTCACGGCCAGAGAGGCAGGGGACGGTTTGCCCTCAGCCGCCATTGCTACTCTGGCTCGCGCCAGCCCCTGGGCGGAATGAGTGAGTGAGCAAGGGTGGAAGAGAGGGCGGGGGAAGGACTGGGCAGGCGGGCTGGGCCAGCACCCCAGATGTGCGGTGGCTGTGGCTAGGCTGGTGTCTCCAGAGAAAACACACGAAGGGGCCAGGAAGACTGGCAGCCAGCCCTGCTTTGCTTGCAGTAGTGAGGCCCAGGAAGGGGTAGGAGCCAGGCTGGAGGCTGTTCCTCGGCCCTTTCCTTTGACGCTCGGCTGCAATTCCATTAAAGCAAGGAGAGGAGGCAAAAGATTCCCAGTTCAGGGAGTCGCTTTTCACCTCTGCAGCTCTGTATGGGCGCCAGCCAGCCCCGCCTTGGGGTGCAACTGCCTGTCGTCCATCCACTAAGTAGTTTTTGAGTGCCTACTATCGCCAACCACCATTAAAGTCACTGGGGATAGAAAAATTCCTGCCTTTGGGGGACTTTCATTTCAAAGAGTGACAGGAATGTGTCTTATGATAAGCCTGTTATACGGCTATTTCCCCATCTGGACCGTGGTTTCACAGAGAGAAGGAACAGATCCCTCTCACCTCGAGATTCTCCAGGGTGCCAAATGCAGAGCCTGACGCTAATGCTAGCCTTACAGCCACCAACAGGATTTGTCCCCCAGTCCAGGAGCCCCTTTCCTTGGCATGTGGGCCCTGGCAGTACCTACAGACAAGGAGGGGGTGACAGCAGCTCAATTTCATCTGTCCCTGGCCGCACATAAAATGAGTTGGCTTCACATTTCAAGCTGCTTTCAAGGGAAAATCCATCACGGGTGGTTTCTGCACTCGAGTGTGTGGGGCGTGTAATAAGGCATAGTTTCTGGTGATCAGATACAGGAAAAGTATTGCAGGCCCACAGAGAAGATCAAAGCCACTGATCAAAGATGCGGATCAGACAAGCAACACCACAGAGGCACAGTCCCTGGGGAGGCATCGTCAGGCGGGGAGGTTTACGGCCACACAGGCCAGCAGGACACACGAGTGATTACCAGGCACAGATCTGCACGGACCCACATCAGAAGCCAAGGGCTTGGACATAATCCAGGCTCAGGAAAACAGAGCTGGCAGCATTATCACCAAAGCACCCGGCAGCCCGAGAGCCTTGCCCCTTACCCAACATAAACGCGGGACCCGAGACACCGCGGTCCTCACTGATGCCGAGGAATGGAGACACCACTTGCTTCACCAGTTCCTCCAGCTGCAAATAACCCTCACTTGGGCCTGTGGGCTCGTGAACACTCTGGAAATAAACATCCAAGAGAGACAAGGGTCAGTCAAAAGTTGCCAGGGCCAGCTGGCACTCAGCCACCAAGTCCTGATTGCCTTCCTACTACATTCAAAGTGGTGACACCAGCAGGCGGCATCGCTGTGGCTGGAATGAAGGAAACTGAGGCTTAAAGCCCGAGTCACTTGCCATGGGTCACAGGGATCAGAACTGTCCAGGGCAGGTGGGACTGCCCACTTTGGTCCCAACCATGTAATCCCACCCCACTGCCACAACGCAGGCACTTTACACGGACCAAAGCAGAGGCCTCTCAACAGCGCAAGGAGCCAGGGACCCTCCCTCATCGTCCACCTTCTACAGATGAGGAAGTAGCACCCAGAGAGCTCAAGTAACTTTCCCAGGAACGCTCAGCTGGTGAGTGGCAAAAACCTGGGACTGGAATGCCGGCTGTCTGGCTCTGAACCCATCTTACTGCCACTTGTTAAGGAGGTTAGAAAAGAAAGGGGGACAGAATATGGAAAAATCCAGAACAGTAGAAGAAAGGGAGACTCACTGTGGAGCCAGACAGATGTTAGGCACCAAGATGAAGACGAGTTAGTTCAAAAGCCCAAAAGGACAGGAGTCCTCAGGGCTAAGCCTGAACAAACACCAACTAAAACACATAACAACGGTCAAAACCAAAAAGGAGACAAAACATGACGAAGGTTCTCTAGAAGACCAGTAGACTCCTAGGGAATCCAATATCTTGCTGGAAAGGGCTCGAAGCCTTGCTCTGTGTTGAGGGACTGTGGAAAGGCAGAGAGAAAAGGCTCCGTGGGGGCTCCCCTCGGCCCAAGAGGACGTCCCAACAAATTCTCAAATTGGAATTGATGTTACAATCACCTTTACCTAAAAAGTAAAACTCCTCACTGTGCTGGAGTTTTCAGGGATTAGAGGAAAAGATGGCGGAGGGGTGAAGCGGGAAGGGCCCATCCCACAGATGGGGGAGGCCTGGGTGGGGTGGAGGCTCCCCTGCACACAGGCTGACTTGGCCCCTTGTCAGCTCCCCCCACCACGGAGACAGAGATGGCTGGGGGCAGTGACAGGGAAGGAATGGCTTAAGGAAACACAAAGGAGGTTGCGGAAGTGGGCTGTGGGGACAGAAGACATGGAGGCTGGGGCTGGGAAGGGGTGGGAAGGGAGGAGATGCAGAATAAACACGAGTGGGCCTCAGACTCCCTAGCACTGGCAGGGGACAGGGGACAGGGGACGGTGGGAAGAAGGCAGGATGTTTCTCATGCCCCCCGGGCTCTAATACCCCTCAGCGTGGGCCGAAGCCATGGAAGCAAAGGGGGAAAGCACAGGGCCTGCTTCACTGGGGAAGGAAATCCTCAAGGCCACAGAGGGGAGAGCGGAGCCTTGTTAATGCTCCCCGGGAACCACCCAGGCCTCAAGTGCGCAGCAGTTTCAGCCCCAAAACCACCTCGACTGGTGTTCAGAGCTGAGGAGACTTTTTTCTTTGTCATTTTTTTCCTCCTTGTTATTTCTCAGGGATATTTCTCTGAGATATTTCTCTGTTATTTCTCTGCCTTCTCCTCCCCCGCCCCCCACCCAAGTGTTTCCCCCACTACGATTAATAAACGCTAAACAGAGAGGGGCAACAGAGAAAGGAGAGGAGGCAAGAGGTGGGAAGAAAATGGGTTAACAAGTGCATGGTTTGGAGCTGGATGGTTTTCTCCCAGGGTAGCTGCTGGACAGCCTGGCTTGCACACAGCCCTCAGCCTGGCCGCCGGACTGCTATGTATTTGCAAGGCCCAGTGCAAAATGAAAATGTGGGAGTCCGTTACTGAAAAATTATTAAGAATTTCAAGATGGCAGTGGGAGACAATTAAACCAAGCACAGGGCCCTGCTTGGCATGGGACCCCGGGTGACTGCACGGGTACCCCTCAGAAGGCACTGTTCTAGGATGATCTCACAACCTGTCTGTACCTGCCAGGAGGAACCAGATCTCTCTAGTGGTCAAGACCGCTGGTTCAGCCTCTCCCTGGGGTAGCTTGGGAGCATACAGCTCATAGCAGGGAAGTTGGAGCCCCTTGCGTATTTTGGGGAGGGAGAGGTTTGTTCAGTGACATTTTGGAAGAGCACTGGAAAAGGGAGAGAAGGCCTGAGAAATGACTCTTTTCTCTGTACGAGTCAGGCAAGGAAAAGCCAGCCCCAGATTTCATGGCACTGGGGAAAGTGGGGGTCTGGGGAGAGAAGGGAGCAATTCTAACTACTGGGACCCAAATTTCCTGTAGTTGGAATGATCCCAGGGCACGGCAACCTGCAAGGTGCATTCAGACCCAGCAGCTGCCATCCTGCTATTCAAGATGACAGACCTGGACTGGCCAAAGATCCCGATTCGTCACTGTCACATTCCCAGCCCTGGGCTTTGTAGCTCCCAGGGTGAGGAAGAACGTGGGCCAGAACTAGTCCCACGAGACCCTTGGGGGAAATAATGCCAAATGCCCAGCATTAAAGGGGACCATCTTAGAAGCTTATGTAGCATCTCCCAGGACCCTGGGGGGACTGTTGGAGGGCAGGCAGTTGTAGCTGGGCATGGCTCGGTGGGCAGGTAGCAAGAGGTGAGGACTGGATGACAGATCCAGATCTTACAGATTAGGACGAGACCTTAAGCTGGTTGGCCAACTCTGAATCTCCACCTCATCTGTGAAAACAGGAAAACAGGGATTGTTTCCTTGCCCAACTTCCCAGACCTCTGTCACGACCATGGAGTTTCTCCGACTGTACTTCTGTCCGCCAAGAGACGAATCCCAACTACGTGATGGTCACTGTCAGGGGATTTGAGGCCAGAGACCTGGGGTCAGTCCTACTCAGGCTCTCTCTGGCTGTGCCATCACTTGCGGAATGGGTGTTTTGTTCACCCTTCCCCGGGCCTGCTATGTGCTGAAGGAACAAGAGGGAGGAGCAAACATACAGACCTGCCTTGGCCTGAAGGGGACCGTGGACCCTGGAAGACTCTGCTGTGTAGGGAGACACAAAGGGGGTGCCAGTGTGGCCGCAGTTTCCAGGTGAGGCTGGGGAGGTAGGAGGACCGGAGGCCAGGGTACAGACTGGGCTGCTCTCCTAAGATCCCACCGGGAACCCCACAGACAGCGGTGTGGACTGGGGGCCAGGATGGATGAAGGAAGCATCTCCCAGGCAAGCAGGCTAACCCCTACGGGGCTTCGGGGGGGATGATGGCGGCTTTCTCATGTGATTCTTGGGTTGTCCAATGTGGGAACGTGGTGGGCGTTTCTCATTAGTACAGAGACAGTCCTTTTTGGTCTGCTGTCAGCAGGTGGGGACCCCCACCCCAGTTCTCCCTCCAAAAGAACAAACAGCAACAACAACAAAGGAACACCTGTCATCCCTAAAATATTATAAATGGAAATAAGAGGGGGAAAGCCCAACTCCTCTTTCCCAATTGTCCTATCCGAACCCTAAAGGGCTCATTTTCTAGACTTCTTCCGTGGGATGCAAGCTCTGCTTTATGCATCCCAGACATGAGCCCACACACACACTTTCTGACCCCCACGCCTTCTCCTTCCCTGCCATAAACATGCCTGAGCTGGCTTTCCAGACATTTAAGCACCCCCTCGTCCTATTAGGCAACTCTTGCTCCTCTGACTTCAGGAAAGGGGGAGAATGCCCAGAAGGATGGCCTAGCTTAGACAGCCAGAAGGCAACAGCAGCTGGGGGACGGGGAGACCAGGGCCCCAAGCCTGCTGTTCTACCCCTGCCAAGAGGGCAGCGGGGTCACCACCAGCCTGACCAACGATGGAACCGGCTGCCCTGGGGAATGGCTCAGACCTGATGCTGTGGCAGCTGAACTTGTTACAGAGGTGGAGGCATAGTTGCCATCTTCTGGGGCTGTCCCTGGGCTGCAGCTCTGTTTCTTGGGAATTATGCACCCCCGTCCATCGGATCGGGCTCCCTGACGCCATGTTTATGGTACTCGACCCAAGGTCATGGCTGACTGGCAAAGGGGAGTCGTGTAGCCAGAGCTAGACAAATCCAATTCTTTCCCCTGAGTGTACACAGCTCTGAATCTTACTACCTCTTGCTGAGGGAGCTTGGACAAACACACACTTCCCGGGTTTCCATTTCTTCATCTGTAAAATGGGAATAACAACACTGTCCGCCTCATAAGGTGGTCGTTTGGATTATCTGATTCAGAAATCAGCCAGTAGCATTAGCTCATCTTCCCACTGTTGATTCAGAACTGGGATTAAGAGACAACCATCTGGGTCAGCTCTTGGTGGAAACACGGGAGTTGTGTGTGGGATGCCACGTTTGGTCAGGTGCAAACCAAAGTACTGAATACAATTCTGCAGAAGGAGGGAGAAAGGGAGAGACACCAAGTCCACGAGGCACCGGGCAGGGCCAGGAGAGGTAGCAGCAGAGAGAAACAAGGCAAGACTGGTAAGTGGTGAAAGGCTGGCAGCTTTGGGGCCTGATGTGGTCTCACTTCTGGCTGTAGTCTCTTAGGGTGCCCACCTGTCCGGGAACCCTCTAGGGAGTTCCTGGTCTGGCTTCAGCTAGGCTACAGCACGCTCTTGTGGTCGCGTGTGACTTATGGATCACTGACATGCAGGAGAAGGGGGAGGGTGCTTCCTGAATGACAAGACCTGCTTCTCTGGCCCCCACTAGGATCCCAGCATGGAGCACGGTGCCAGGGGCCTCACAGGCGCTCAGTGGAGGTACAACAAGGGAACAAATGCGCTAAGGCACAGGAACAGCTACGCTGAAGAATACGAGCTAAGCTAAGACGTTCAAGTCGTTTGGTCCCTCCGCCGTCCCACAGGATCTCTTCCTCCCTTGGCCAGGTGGCCACATCTCCACCGGGGCCTCACCCACCTGCAGGACGAGCAACATCTGGACAATGGATGAGGGCGGCTGGGACCGGGCCAGCAGCAAGTCGCCCGGCTTCACCTTCAGCAGGACCAGGTCGCGGAAGCCCAGCAGAGAGATCTGGCGGATGGTCAGCTCCTGGCCCTGAAGAGGAGAGAGGGGGCAGGGCTGGGAGGTGAGAGCCCGCTGGATATGCCACTAACCACGGGGGTTCCAGGACAACCAGTGTGTACAGAGCACCACGATGAGCCGGGATGAGGTGTCTGCAGACCTGGGTGGGGGGAAGACTGCCAAAAAGTCGAAGATTTGGCCCCTTCCTCCCCCCGTCCTTCCGAATGAAAACTTCATTTAAGATTAAGGTGTGACTCAGAGGTGCCTCGTGGCTCAGTCGGTTAAGCGTCTGACTTCAGCTCAGGTCATGATCTCACAGTTTGTGGGTTCGAACCCCGTGCTGGGCTCTGTGCTGACGGCTCAGAGCCCGGAGCCTGCTTCCGATTCTGTGTCTCCCTCTCTCTCTGCCCCTCCCCAACTTGTGCTCTCTCTCTCAAAAATAAATAAAACATCAAAGGAAAAAAAGAGAAGGTGTGACTCACTCAATCCGCCTAAGTGACCCAAGATGGTACAAGATATATGGGGGCTATGCTGTCATGGGGGGCAAGGGGCATTCAGGAAGGAGGAAGAAAGGAAGATGGGGGGAAGCGAGAGAAAAGATCAACACTGGCCCTGCCCCCCACTTTCAAGGCTGCTTCCTCAACTTTGCTTAATATGTGAGCACCTGGCGCACGACAGGCAAAGAAGGAAAAACACAGGGACTCGTTTTGACCATGCAGGGTGCAGGCGGAGGATGAACATAACTAATAATCCTAAGAGCTGATACTACCCAAGCTCCATGTGCAAGCCATGACTCTAAATATTTTAGATGGAAGTAACACGTTTAGTCGCCACCCTTTCGGATAGGTACTATTACAAAACCTACCCTGCAGATGAAAACCCTGAAGGACAGGGTTATGGTACTATATCCAGGGAAGAGCTGGATCTCAAACATTAACCGGTTGATTTTAGAGCTGCCAAAGTTTCCCAAAAGAGAAAGGAGGGCCTCTTTCCTAGACTCTCCTTTGCACATGCATATACAGCACACACCAGAGATGGGTTGCTCGTGGGAGAGCCAAAGATATCACCAAGGCACCTGCCAAACAGGATGTAGCTTTTCATCCCACAAGTCTGCCAAGGCTTAAGGAAGTTTTACATTTCCCGTTAACTCCTTAGGGTTGCCATCCCCGCATCCCCCCACTCCCTCCACCAAGAGATGCACACAACCACCACCAGTGCCTTCCAGGCTCGGGTCAACCACCCCCCTCCCTGATTGCCTTCCCCACCGCCTTAAGGTGCTACAGTTGCTACTTTTTGCCCCACACGCCAGCACTCGACACTGACCGCCTGTCTCTTAGGTCTCTGCCCTCGCTTCCCCTCCAGGGTTCCCTTCCCCTTATGAGGTAGGAAGATGAAGGCAAGCTTCCACACCCTTGAACACAGTAGGTACTCACAACCACACCTGTCCAGTGAGGAAGTAGGTGTCAGACACCCATCCAGGCAGGGGGCTCTAAGAAGGATCTAGCCGGACAAACAGACACCTTGGTGTGTTACCACCAGTAGCGAGAACCGCTAACTCAGGGCTTCCCGCGGTGGGGTGTCTGGAACAGCAGCGGCAGCAACAGCACTTGGGAAACCGTGTGTGGGGAAGCGGCTGGACGGGCAGCATCACCTGTCACCGGAGCTTCTGATTCTTCGAGAGAAGCAGGGCAGTAACGTCCTCAGACCCTCACAGCTGGGCTCCCGCTTGGATGTACGCGAGGGCCCTTCTTGGCCATCTGACGATTGTCCCAGGGCCATGCTCACTCAGGTGCCACACTTCCATTCTAAACCCATCTGGATACACCCACCCCTTGAAATGCCATGCCCACCAGGTCCCAAGAGAGAGACCCGGGTCTATACACCCCCGCCAACAGGATGCCAAATAAAACAGAGGATGTCCAGTAGAATGTGAATCATTTTTTAGTAGAAGTACACCCCAAATGTTGCATTATTCATTGTTTATCTGAAATTGAAATCTAACTCAGCATCCTGTCATTTTATTTGCTAAATCTGGGAATCCTACCCCTAGGTCTGTCTTCTTAGGACCCAGTGCTGGCCTAGTGACTATCACAGGGTACGGGGGCTGAATTGTCTACATAAATGCTGCAAACCCCCTCACGGGGGTAAAGGATGGACCCGAGGGTAAAGGAAGGGATCAAAAGAGCAGTGAGCTGTGCAGGCCAGAGGCTTCTACTAAAAATTGTTAGGGGCAGGCCAGAAATGGAAAGGAGCTCTGTAGGCATAACTTCCCAATGTTTAAATATTGATACATATTTAAAAGAATTCCAAGCTCCCATAAAATACCATTCAGAGCAAACAAAGAATGTGGGCCCTTAGGTCTGGTACCAGGGTCATTCCTACCACTGTTAATGGCTCAGCTGCTATGCCCCACACCCACACTTCCCCAAAGCTAGGTGAGATAGGAGCCTTAAGCCCAGGGGCGGGGTGGGGGGGGGCAGTGTTAATGCAGGATGGAGAGGTGAGTCTGGGAGAGGAACATCGATTGGTACACCTGCCTTCGGGGGCGTCTACTCTGCAGTGGCAATGCCTCGTCCTGCTATTAGACTCTGCGGGAAGATGGAAGGAAATCACCTCAAGTGTTAGGAGAAGCCCAGGTCACACAATAATACCAAAGAGATGCTACTCACTGCTCACACGAAATTCCACATTTTGCAGATGAAACCGAGCTACGCTCAGAGAAGTGAAATGAGTTTGCCCAGGACCAACTACTGATTCTCAGTCTAGTGTTCTTTCTGCTACATCATGTGGCTACTTGTCTTCGGGAATCCCTTACAGAGGGCAAGAAACATTATTCCTTTCCCACAGTTTGGTACAACAGGAACCCTGCCTTAAAATTGTGCTTCAAAGAAAGGGAGGGGGGAGCAAAGAAAGAAAGGGACAGAAAAGAAAACAGTCTCCCTACCCCATCTCTGCTTCTGAAAAGCTGGAAGAAACAAACCACTCCGAGAACGTACAAGGCATATGCAAAACCAAGAGGGTGAGGAGAGCCTACAAATTGCTAGTTACGTAGGCGCTCTCTCTTTGCTGGAGGTCAGATGCTAAACACAGACCAGAGAGCCCTTCAAAGAGCCCCGAGGTCCTTAGCCGACTCAGGCACCCAACGTCCTGCCTCTCCCCGGTTCACCAGGAGGCCCGAGCTGGCAAAGGCCAAGGAATGAGACAGAGTGCTGAGGCCGGCAGGAGGTCGTTCCTCCGAGACTGACCTGAACTGGATAAAATATTGCCTGCAGGGTGGGGAGAGTCTCAGTGAAGAAGTGGTCCCACACTTCAGCCAGAACCTCAATGCGATTTTCACCTACACGAGGGCGAGAAGATGGGAGGGGAGAAAGAAAGAAAAAGAATTTGTCATTACTTGCAGGAGAGGCTAGAGACCGCTCCGTGTCAAAGGGAGCATGGGGGCAGGTAACTCATGACCTACATTTCACCTAGGAGGCATTGCTACAAGTAAACGTGGGAATGAGTGGAAAGACTTAACCGAAAAGAGGCAAATATGTCTTCTATCCCCCAATCCAGGAATGGGAGCTGAAGTATGGAAATCACAGAACAGTTGCTGCTGTGGTGAGAATGGTAACAACATTCTCAGGCACTGTACTAAACTCCTCATCTACATTTCATGAATAAACTATTCCCTCACTTTACAGGCTCAGAGAGACAGGCCAGGTGTCTAGCCTAACATCACATGGCTAGAAGGCAGAGCTGGGATTCCAGAATCCATGCCCTTGACCAACATTATCTGGGACGATCACGTGCACAATTATATATTGTTTTGATTTTCTAATCACTACGACACTGGGTTTTTATTCTGGATTTGAGCTGTTGGGACAAGGAGGTGAAAAGAAGGGCCTGGAAACTGTCACTTCCACCCACTGGTTTGCAATAACCAGCGGGGAGAGGGAGGCAGCGTATCACCTGCAGAACTCAGGCCCCGCCTCCTGATGCTATACTTACGCTCACCCCTGGGATCCTGAGCCACTGGTCAGGCACCGCTCCCAGGCTGGGTGTACATGGGTCACCCAATGCCACCAGAAGGCCGTGCCAAGAACCCCGCACCTGCAGGAAAGGCCGGCACTGGCAGAGAGGAGCCTGCACGGTGGCTGCTTTTTAATGACCTAGATAACAGACCTGATTGGGCACCGTCTTTGCTCATCTGAGGCCGAGAAACTGGGTCGGCCAAGATTAGACACTGAAAGATGCATTTGGCAAAACACTGCCAGTTCCACTGAACAGATCTTGAAAGATTCATTTAGCCTCTTCTGCCTATTAATTTAATGCACAATAAAAGCAGCGGCTGGGAGAGAGAACAGAACAAGGGCAGAACCAGCAGCTAGCGGGGCCAAAGATGCATGGATTTTTGAAAGCTTGGAGAGACACACGCTAGGGGAAAATGCAAATCCATAGTCCCCTGTAATTTGCCTCACAAAGTGCTAATTACACGTTGTTGGAATCACTGATTGACTTCTCTGTCTCCTCTCCTAGAATGGGATGGGCGTCTGGGTCCTGTCTGTCCTGCCCCACCATTATTATTTCTAGTGCCTGGCATGTTGCCAGATCAATAAATTACTTTTTAGAAATCTCTGAGTGAATGAATCACAAGTATCAAGGGTACAGGCTTTCGCAGATGCTGCGGCTGGTGAGTGAAGGGGGTTAACATTTAGCCCCAGCATGGGACAGGACACAACAGGACTTAATAATTAGCTCCAACATTTTCCTTTGGTCTTAGATCAAGGAAACATCCGCAACACGGGCAATCTGGAGGGGACAGTCTGTTTCCTTCTTCTGCATCCTCACCCTCCTTCTCTATTCCCCTAAGTATGTGGATTTTATTTCAGCCCCTCAGGCTCACCATGCTCTGTACACCACAGGGCATTTGCATGTGCTAGTCCCTTTGCCTAGACTATTCTTTACCCCTCTTTCTGCCTCACCTACATCTGCCTATTCTTTTAGTGTCAGCTCCAGCATCACTTCTATAGCAAAGTCTCGCCCATGGGTCAAACCTCCCTCCTACAAACTGTATTCTTTTTTTTTTTAATCTTTAAAATTTTTATTTATTTTTGAGAGAGAGACAGAGCAGGAACAGGGGAAGGGCAGAGAGAAAGGGAGACACAGAATCCCAGCAGGCTCCAGGCTCTGAGCCCGATGCGGGGCTCGAACCCACGAACCGCGAGATCGTGACCTGAGCCAAAGCTGGACGTCCAACCGAATCACCCAGGTGCCCCAGACTGTATTCTTAGTACCTGCTGCAGTTACAGTGTTATATTTCATAATGATTTGATTAATCTCCCTCTTCACCACTGGGTTATGAGCTAATCCACGAGGGCCTGGAATCCTAGGATGGTTTTGTTCACCACCGTGTCCCCAGCACCTAGCAAAGTGCCTGGTAGATGGCTGATAATCAACCAATGTCTGAACGAACCCATCTTTTCAAATGTAGGCTATGCTAGTTCGTGGCAGGGAGGAGTCGGGGAGCTCAAAAGGAACATCTGACATGTTAAGCCATCCTGGTACCCAAAACCAAGGTGAGCCCAACACCCGGGGAACGTACTGCACAGGAGAAAAGGCCATATTCCAGCTGCTTTATTGACGGCCTGTATCCTAAGCCTTCCATTACAAAGCCCAGCAGAGGCCTTCCCAACACGAAGGAAGGGCAGGAGAATCCTGCAGATCCGTGCCAGTGCCCGCTTATTCCCCTCCACCGCCAGGATGGAGAGCTCGTCAGCACATGAGGTAATCTTTCAACCCAGCAGCAGGAAGGCACCTCTCCTGGGAACTCGGGTCTAATTGCTGGCTTCGCACTTCACAGAGTAATGGAGGTTTTGGAAAGTGTTCAGAGAAGAATGTCCGACTGACACAGGCTAACAAAACAGGGTGACCCCGGGGAAGAAAGAGTTTCAGGGAGGTGACTTCACCTCCAGAAACAGCCCCTAAGGACTTAGCTCCCCGCAAAGATGAAGGCGGCTGCACAGAAGCTTCTAGACAACCACCCTATAAAAACTGTCCTCTAAATGTGCCACAGGAGTTTAGGTCACCGGAAGCCCATAGAAGGGGAATCAGGGACTCCTTACGGTCAAGGCCACGAAAGCTCTGGGAAAGATTCGTGGAAGAAACACGGCAGATCCTGCCCACAAAAGATCAACACAAGGATAAGAGCTGCCTCTGTCCTTTCTGCGGCCATAAGGGACACATGTACAATGTGTCCATAAAACAATCAGGTCAACAGAGTACGGTCTGTTCAGTGATAGGATGGATCCTATAGCAAGGGAATCCTTTCTGTCAAATAAAATCTTTTGTGGGGTTGTAATACATGAAATAAAAAAGTGGAGAAGTTCTGGCTGAAGACAGGAAAGGCCCTTCAAGGTTCTCCACCTCTTTCACTGTGCAGAGGTGACATGCAGACCTCACGGCCAGCACGGACCCGGGGAGAACCCCCGCCCTGGTGCCCCATGGCGTGCTTTAGGGCAGAGGCAGAGAACCTCAGATGACCTTCATTTACCCCATTCAGCACCATTTCTGAGCCTTCACTCCAAATGTATCCGTGTCAAGCGTCACTGGAATAAGAGACATCGACTCTTCCCTGAAAACACTTACAGACCTGGTTTTGCTCGGTATCTTTTTTATGAAGCTGGTTTCCCACATTTGCAGGAGCATGTAGTAACCCCTCAGGTGACTTACAGACAAATAATGTGGCCAGAGACCACGCTTCCCTTCCCCCCCTTTACTAGGCAGCCACCTTCCATACTTGTGTACTGGCCCGACTGTTAAATGCAAAAGGGGCACAAAATCCCTGTCAAAGCCACTCACTTACAACTAAGGCCCTGGGCTAGTGGGTGTTTATAAGGTTGAAAAAGCCTGAATACAGCTATATGGAAGGAAAACAAGGCTACAAGTTCAGTCAGCTGTCACATATATGGAAGTTAATTTCTAATCTCTATTCTTCCAAAGGTCTGCTGAGCACTTACTGTGGGCCAAGCACCGGAACTTTCCGGTGTCAGCTTCTCATTTGTCTCCTACTTTGTCTTCCCAGGGGACACTTCATGGAACAACAATCTCTTTCCCAGGGAATGGAGGTGAAAAAAAGGGATGCTCTATGGCCTGATATGTCTGGGACTAGTAGTAAATTTGACCTACAGATAGAGGTCTTTAGGTTAAAGTACCAAAAAAAAAAAAAAAAAAAAAAAAAGAAACCAGTTTGTGGACCTACGGCATGCCAAGTATGATGCTACGCCAGGTACACTCCTTATACTCCTTATAACCCCTAGCCCATTTGGTCATTTTAAAAATGATAAAAAACTGGGGCGCCTGGGTGGCTCAGTCAGTTAAGCATCTGACTCCTGATTTCGACTCAGGTCATGATCTCACGGTTCATGAGTTCAAGCCCTGCACTGGGCTCTGCGCTGAGCATAGTGCCTGCTTGGGATTCTCTTTCTCTCTCTCTCTCTATTTCTCTCTCTCTCTCTCGAAATAAACTTAAAAAAATTTCAATAAAAAATTTTCAAAAATAAATAATCAGTAAAAACCAAGGCTCAAAGGAACTAGAAACTTGGCCAAAGTCACCAAAGAAGTAGGTGGTAAGCTAAGGTCAGAATCCACCTTGGAGGCAGCTGAGAGGTAGCCCTTGATAGAGTCCCGGGGTTGGCCACTTCTTGCCTTGGTCCCATCTCCCATCTCCATTCGGTCCCTTTCTATTCTGTCTGCTGGGCTCTAAAATCTTTCCAGGCCAGGAATCTTCCATTGCCTATCAAATCATACGCCATTCAGCAGGGGCCTGTTTAGCCTAATGCCCCCCAGACAGGTAGGCCTCCAGTCGTAAAGGACCTCAACTAAGATGAAAAGGGCCAGTTAGAAATAGCCTGGGTCAGACGAGGGAGAACAGCATGTCAGGATCCGTGGTAGAATTTATCCCTCCACAGGGGACCGCCAGCATGCATCCCGTGAAACACCCTCGGCGAGGGTTCTCGGAGAAGACCACCCCGATCCCACCTCATTTTTCAAAAAACAGATCTGACTGGCACAGCCACAGTGGCTGGCTCCGAGCAAGCGAGGCCGCTCGCGGGGGGAGCGAGAGACAGGGTGAATCACTCACTTGGAGCCTGCCACTCTTGGACAGAAGCATTTCAGCTGTCCAAACAGCAGAGGCTGAGTCACAGGGCCCACTGTACGAGGGCTGCCTTGTACTTGCCTTCACACAGCTTAATCTTCTCCTCCACAAACAACAGGCCTTTGGCAAGAAGCTGATTCTGTCAAGAGAGAACAAAGAACACAAGGGTTGGGCTACTTCACGCACCGACAAAACCTCTTCCACGTCCAATGGGCGAGGGCGTGGGGCTCTGGGCCCTTGGATGCCAGTCACGCTTCCAAGTACTAGAAGCCATCTGTCCTCTTGGAAGATCAGGCTTCGGGAGAAGTCAACAAGACATCCCACGGCAAACGAGGGAGACGAGAGCCAAACTCAACCACCATTCCATCCCTCCAAGCAGGGAGGAGGCATGCCATAGGCTTGGCTGAGTCCTACGGCAGGCCTGTGGTGGACACCCGATGTCCTTCAAGCCCTTCATCTAAACTCAGAAAAGGGAGCGTTGAGGTAACGGGAAATTGTGCAGAGATAATATATTTTTTTTTAAGAGATGAATTTAGGGTTTCCCACGCAAGCATGAAAGAGACTGTATGCAAAAACCTTAAGCAGCCGTGAGTATGTGTCCACCAGTGAGGGTGTGCATGGAAAGCTGTGGAAAGAGAGAGTACGGTTAAGTCCTTGTGCAATTGTACCTAGCAACTGCTGAGTGTTCTGCGCATGTCAGAGGGTTTATATCGTTCATTTCACCTAATTGCAACCCTCCCAACAGTCCTAGCCAGTTGGTGCCATGACCCTCACTTTACTGACGGTCAGTGAAGAGACCGCCTACAGGAGACAGACCAGGTCTTCTTAGCTCCAGAAGCCATGTTCTCTCCACTCTGCTTTGTTGCCTTCTAGCAAGTCTCCCCACCCAGAGCCCCCTTGAAGGGCTAGCGCTGGTCCCATAAGAAGTGGAGCAGCCTCTTCACAGGTCACAGAAGCTCCAAGAGCAAGGATGCCCTGGTGCCTCTCCACTCACCTCACATTATCAGATTATCAAAGTCCTATGCTTATGGGACAGGGGGCCCATGGTGATCTGTATCCTACAGAAAACCTAATGCATTTCTTAGTATTCTCCTTTATAAAACCTTAAAACCCTGTTGCAACGATGACAATGATGCAAACCCTCGTGCATAGCAGAGTGGAAAGAATCTGGATATCAGACGGGGGCTCAAGTCCCAGCTCAGCCACACTCGAGCTGTGTGATCTTGAACTTTCTCTAATACTTGACTTCCTCAGCTGTAAAATGGCACCATACCAGCAACATCATAAAGTTCTTATAAGACTTAGTCATTACACACACACACACACACACACACACACACACACACACAGTATCTCATGTCCTTAGTACTCAGTGGTAATGGGCATTGATGATAATAGCTGTTCTCTTAGCCCATCTATCTTCACAAAGGAGTGGGAGTTAGAGAGAGTCGGTAATGAATGGGCCTACATCAAATATATTAAAATATTTTGTCAAAGGAACTGTCACATTTCTGTGACTCACACATATAAACCAAATTTCAGAAGCCCTATTAAAATTCACAAGAGATGATCTAACTTCAAAAAGTAGTTGGCCAGCGTTTAGTGTCAAGATGGAACCCCAACTCAAAGTCAGAATGACATCTTCTAGGAGAACACCAACTCTGTTAAAGGAGACAAAATTCAATTCCTTTACACAGAACGATGGAACAGAGAGGTAGTTTCAGTGAGACCCCACCTGCATTCTCCACCTTCCAGCCAAGCAAATGAATCCCAACAGCTTCTGGGTCAGAAAGCAAGAAAACACCACTGCACCAAATTTAGACTATCAGAAGCAAGGCTCTCTGACAGCCAGGCTGGACAGGAAAGGACTGTGCAGGTGCCTTCCAGAAGACAGTCGCTCCACCTGCATGTTTCTGAGCAGCTGGGGCCTCAAGTCTCTGTGTGGGTCCCTATCACCCATCCAGGTGAAGTTCTCAGAACTTCCCCTGGGTGCTCTGTGCAAGGGCTCCTGATGCCATTAGTCTCTGTCACCACCTCTGATGCCAACACAGATGTCCCAGGCTTCTTCCAAAACAACTTTACAACCTTCCAAGATGTCATGTTTCTGCAATGCACCTGTGGATGTGATTGCACCTCCCTCTTAATGCAGTTTTTGTGACTTTGTCCTATGACGTCTACATTAAAAAAAAATTTTTTTTTCAACGTTTATTTATTTTTGGGACAGGGAGAGACAGAGCATGAACGGGGGAGGGTCAGAGAGAGAGGGAGACAGAGAATCGGAAACAGGCTCCAGGCTCTGAGCCATCAGCCCAGAGCCTGATGTGGGGCTCGAACTCACGGACCGCAAGATCGTGACCTGGCTGAAGTCGGACGCTTAACCGACTACACCACCCAGGCGCCCCGACGTCTACATTTTAAATGGCAGGGGTGGGGGTAGAGTGGTGGGAGAACAGGAAGTACTGACAACAGAGAGATAAAAGCCTAGTCCAGGCGATGTCATGAGTTAAAGAAACAAATTCAAACCCTGTATCATACTCACTAGGTCCTTAGCGGTGAAGGCCATTTCTTACTGCTCTGAGAACAGTGTCCCAAACATAGCAGATGTTAATAAACATTGGCTGAATATATATATATTGCCTGTTTTGGTGCTGAAGCCCATTTTGAACTTTTAAGGAATCAAGATAAGAGACAGAATATGTAGAAGAGGGGAGAAAGTGATACAGGGTCCCTAAGTCTGTTGACGTTTTCTTTACTTGATAAAAATCACTCTGCATCTGTACCTTAAGGGATAAGCTTTAAACGATGGCTCAGGTTCTTCTTCCCTCTCTCTCCTACTTCTCCCCCTTCAAGGAGACATTTGGGGAAAGAAAAAAAGACATTTTTTTTTCAATGAAAAGGAATGATTTGTGTATTATACAGAAATGGAAAAGAAGATACTCTTTTAAAATCCTCAGGATACGCAGCATGGCAGTTCTGTAACTTAGGCCAAAATAAGAGCAATAGAAACTTGGGCTCAGGAGGGGATTTAAGGAGCCTCTAGCCATATTCTGCCATCTCCCCAGCCCTGTGGTCAAAATCCACTGGTCACATGCAGTTTTGAGGCTATTTCGGTGGACTCGTCCTTTTCCAGGAAACTAAAGCACCTTTCAAAAGCATCTTGCAGATTCTTCTATCCGCAGGCATTTGTAGATTTTGCTCTTATTTTACAGCTGAATGAATAACTGGTCTCCAGCTTTTGTTTGTCACGTGCACGCAGAGGAAGGATCACTGGGCCCAGCCTAGCCCACAGCCCCTGCTCTCCAGAGAATCTCCCGCCATGCACTCAATGGATCTGTGCCCCACTGTGCAAGCTCAAACCCCTTGATCACAGCCTGCATCTCCGGCTTAGCTGATTGGCCTGTTTCCTATCCCGTTGCTGACCCAGGCCTCAAACTGAGCCAACAGTCTTCTCTCCTGGGAATCTGCAGTCACACAGGCTCCTACCCTCCAAATGGTCCTATGTTCCTCCGGGCCTCATGGCCTGAAGGGCTTCCTGCTTGGGGTTTAATGCTCTGCAGTTGCCATTTTAATTCTTAGTATTTTTTATCTTCAAACTTGTGTTTTGTAAGTGAAATCTGATTGGGTTCACTTGTGGTCCTGCCTCCTACCACCTCCCCAGGAGGATTTTTCAACACCTGCTCGCCCCCCACTCCCCCACCCCTGCGCGTACTGGTCCCACAGGGTCTCCCTCACCCTGCCTCCGGCCCCACACTGTCCTCTTATTCCCCGAAATGCTGGGGGGCCCACGCCCAAATGCAAGGAGGGTAGGGTTGGGGCAGGCCCTGCAGCACCTGGGGAGGGGCCCCGGGGGCAGGCTTCCCCGCGCCGGGGCTGGCAGAGCTGTGGCTCAAGTGCTGGTAACTCAGGGAGGGCCTCTTGACCATCCCGGATGTGTGTACTGAGGGTGCAAAGGTTCCGATCTCTCGTGGGGGGTCTCCTGTCCACCACAGGCTGCAGCAGCAGGCCCACGGGAAAGGGAGACCGACCTCCCCAACCCTGGTTGCGGCCACTCTGTGTGCTGCTCGCTTCACCTCAGGATGCCAACTGGACATCTGTGGGGCTTAAGGCTGCTGAGACATCCCCCTCCTTCCCCCCAGAAGGACAAAGGAAAACCAAAAGAACCAGCCTTGACTCAGGCATCCATCTTGGACGGTCTGTCCTTTTAAGCATCTCTTCCTGGAACTCGCCTCACCGCATTCCCGGCCCTTAACAAAGGCATGATTCTGGAAGGTGCCGAGGACATGTTTGCTGCAGGCTGTGGTGATGGAGCTGTGTGGTGCCAGGGCTGGGAAGAACCCGACCTTTCTCTGGTCCCGTTCCCTGCCCAATGGTGGCAACCGCACCACCTCCCCGGCCCGATGGCTTGGAGCCAACAACCGTTTACATTAAATAGCAGCCACCTAGGAAATGACTTGGGACTGGGAACGAGGCCCATTGTTACTTGGTGCCTTGCCCCCACCCCATAAATGAACTTAGACGTGGAATACACATCACTTGAATCAAGCAGCAGAGGAGCCTGGACGTGAAAGACAGCTGACATGTCTAAGACATCAAAAAATACGCCACCAACAGAAAAATGAAGTTCAGCTAGGAAAAATGCAAAAAAAAAAAAAAACAAACCCAAAAAACAAGGATGTCTGGGGAAAGGCATCCAAAACCACCCAATCTTGAGTGGGTGGGACAGATTCAGCTCATCCTAGCTGATCATGGAGGGCAGGCAGGAGGAAGCAGGGGAGGACAGAGGAGAAGGTGGGCTTGTCAACAGTGTGCACCTCTTGTCAAGCAGGTACTTCCCCAAACCCACCAGAGGGACTCAGGGAAACAGGGAACCCACAGGCTGGGGGGTGGGGGTGGGGAGAAGGACACTAACCCATCTTCCCAGAGGAAAGAACTTTCCAACAGCAGGAATCCTGTAAATGCTAAGGCTGCCTGCCACTGCTTTAGCGATGATGATGATGAAGAAGAAGAAGAAGAAGAAGAAGAAGAAGAAGAAGAAGAAGAAGAAGAAAGAATGACAGTAGAGTTATTCACTGGTTTTTACTCTTGTCAGGCACTGTATTAAACCCTTTGCATGCACTAACTAGCTCATTGTACCTTTGC